CAAACAATCATATGGAAAAAGGAAAAAAAACACGGACAACAGACATACGTACACACGATGCAACAGCTACCACATTTTTCGTACGTTCGACAAACCTTTATTACTCTAGCAATAAAGCAAAAATGAAGTAATCAAATAACAAATGTATAAAGAGAAGAAAAGAAACAAAACAAAAAAAAAAGAAATGTATGTAGAGAGGCAGCGAACTGTGGTTACGTGTGTGGAATGGATGCATTGTTCCGCGTTTTGAGGGTGTATCATCAAAAACACAGCTGCAAACAACCGTTTTTCCTCGAGTACTAAAGTCCGGCTGTATTTGTGCCGAGTATAGGGAAAAAATACGTAGTCGAGAGTATCGGACCGGATTTGAAAGCGTAACGATGCGAGGCGAATCGAGCAAGAGGAGCGTGCTTTTGTGGGACCGATCAAACAGAGAAATCGTTAACACGTATGTACCTTTCATCGAGGCGTTGTCATCGAGGGTTTTCATGCTGAGAAGAATGCAGATAATTGTAGCGAGAAATGCTGTTTTACACATTCGTGATAGATCAGACTTTGCTGGTGAAATCTAGTTCGACATTCTCATTCATAGTGAACGAAAAAAGAAAAAGAATAAGATACTTTGTCAATCAGGTGGTATATACAGGGTTTGTTAAAACACATTTTTGAAATGAAAATTAGTAAAAGTTATTTTTACGAGGTGTCTGCGAATCTTTAAAATCTGTGACTACTATGAGCAACTAGAAATAAAATCGGATGATTTTAAAGGTACAACGTTGATGTAGTTGGCGTTTTCCGGGGATAATTTGGGATGAAATATAGAGAAAATTTGTGCTAAACTGTATAAGGAAAATATCAATTATCGATAACGGGTTGACCTTTTCTATAATTACATGTACGTCAGCGAGCCGTAGAGTAAATTTTCACACAGATCGTTTCAACGTGATGTATTGTGACATTTAGACGGATGTTTTAGAAATATTTCTATTTAAGACAGTTACTTTTTAAGATAACGTAGATAGGAATTTTTTTATAATAGTAACTTTTATAAAATACAAGCAAATATCGTTGTAGATAAAATCCTTTTCTGAATTTACAAGTATTGTTTTTCATTAGAATACATTAGAAACCCATTTTACAAACTCTTGTATCTTTTTCATTAAAATTCAAGCTTCTACTTGCATAAAATATTGTATTTAGAATATTCCACTGCAAAATGTAATATAGTAAAGAATTATTCGAATTACTACAGAATTTATTGTAATTATTTGAAAGACGTGTGGATAGGAAGATTATTAATATAAATCTAAAGTGATAAAACAAATTGTACTCATGTATAGGTAAAAAATATTTGTATGTAATCTAAGTACAGAAGGATATGCATTTTTTTTTTTAGAATACTGTAACATGCAGATCAATGTTCAAAAAATAGAATAAGATTGTTCTGTATAAAAAAAATGAATTATACATAAATTATATCTAATATGTTTATATTCCTAGCGTCGCAAAAGTTCATTCAATTATATTTTTATTACATTGCAATTTGGTCGATAATAAAACATATAAAAGTAATAATATGCACTGCTAAAATCAAAGTTACTCTAAACATACTATATACAATTGAAGCCATGCTATTGCACCATTGCAAATATACAGTCCCTATTGGTAAATAACACGACAAATCTCGTTAAATTTTGGCACTGCTAAATTGTCACGCAATTTTGCTTTTTGCCTCAAGGAACGCTGTAACCACAAGTACATAAAAAAAAGACAAGAAAAAACCTACAGTCACAAAACAAAAAAAATATATCTGAACACTTTTGTCAGCACAATTATCACTCGGCTGAGTAAACGAAAAAAAAAAAAAATGTAAATCTTACTCTTTGCTGTGATTAATTTTTTGTATATAAGTTTGAAACAAAAAAACTCTCTGTTACGTGACAATATTTTTGTTTTTGTTCAACTTCGGTGAAATCTGCGTTCCCTTCGAGCTACAATGACGATTATTGATAATCTCGTCTATGCTTTGCTTCAACTCCTCCATTTCTAAAATGTCCAGCGGCAACGACGTTTGCGTCGCCATTTCTCGAGCGTTGCCAGTCTGTCCGTCAGACTGCATGAGTCTTGTCAATTCAGGGCAACATGAGCTTAGACTAGACGCAAGATTTCCTATTCCAGCTTTTCTGTATACCTCTTTTATCTCTGCGTCGCTTTTCAATTTGATGTCGCTGGTCTCTTGAAACAGATGCTTCAATATGGTTTCGTCCTGGAGCAAGTATTTGCTCCTTCGACCCTCTCTACTTCGTCTATCGCTTTCATGACTGTAACTCTTAGAGCTCTTGTTGCTGGTTTTGCTCTTGCTGCGTTCTTGCGGTTCTTCTGGGTCTAACATCTTTGCTTCTTCCTCTGGCTGACTGTCATCGCTGTCACTGTCTTGATCATCCTTCTCTATATTTCTACCTTCCACGTCCACGTCCTTTCCTGACATTCCTTGGTGCCGCTTTTCCTCACTGCTTAAGTTCTCGTCACTGCCACTTTGTCCTGGAAACAGAAATGGCAAAAGCATGCCTGCGTTCTTTCCATCAAACAACTTGGGATTCAGGGTACGATCGTCCAGACCGGCACTAGCAGATCGTCTCTTCATGTTAGGCACTTGCATGGGCGGTACTCGTGAATTGCCACCTATGGTTAACGCTGACAGTATCTGTGCACCAAGTTGACTTTCTTGTGACGTTGTGCTACCTCTTCTGAACAATGGACCCACTTTGCCCGATCTTGATTTTCCAAAATCTCGTCGCCGTTTTCCGCGTCGACCGCGTGAGCTGCTGGCGACTTTTCGCGTTGTTTTCAGTTCAGCTATTTGAACTGATATTTGAGAGTCTAGAGAGTTTCGTCTGGATTCCACGGATACTCGACGTACGCTAAAACTGATCTCAGAATCTACGGAATTTCTTCTGTTGCTGGATACAGAGCCTGTCGTACCACCGACGAGGGCTCCTCTACGAGTAACTAGCTTTGGTAAAGCAGCTGCCCATGTCGAACTGAAATCTTGAGAGGCGACGGAGTTTAGGTCGAAATTTAAACCAACTGGATCCTCGTGAGTATTGTGGAAGCTAATGGACAATCGACCAGCGTTGTTAAATGTCTTCCGTTTAGCAAATGCTTGAGCGATAACTTTGTGTTTTTTCAGTCTAATAGGTTCTTCAGTCTCGCAATTGAAAGTCCTTAAACATAAGCTTAAAATTTACTCAATATTCGTTGTAAAGGTAAATTTGAAATGAAAAAAATAAAAGGAAAGAGTTGAAACTTACCTTCTAAGAAATCTGGTCCAAGTATCTACAGTTGAACCGGTCCAAACCCATGAAGACATGAGAATACCGGCGAAAAATGGCGAAAGTAAATGCAATTGCATTTTAGCTGCACTCGGTCGAACCTCCATTTTACATTCGGAGATGTCCAAGTACTTGGTCGTTATTGCACATCTGTAGATAAAATATTAATAAAATATTGATGAAAATATTACAATAAGAAAGTGATATACGGTTATATACTGTAACTTTATTAGATATCGATGATATTCTTACATCATGTAATTTCTAAAACTTTGACGCCATTCCCAAGAATGCTGGAATTCATAAACATGGCAGTAAAACGTCACCACAACTGCAGCGAAAGTGAAAATCGAAAATAGACCCATGCGCACAATAGTCTCTCGTATTTTTGAACTAGCCCTTTCTGATATTATTTCTTGGCTACTTATCTTTAATCGAATTAACGTAATTAATCCTGAAATTATTGATCATAATATTAGTTGAATTGAATTTAAATTTGCATCTCAATTTTTAATCCATATTGTCACTTAGGAAAGTACTTACAGACTATATTCTTTAGGAAAGCATACAAAAAACATTTTATTACAGAGATTGTAAAAAATGGGAAGTTTAAATACACAGATATAAATTTAAAACATACCTCTGGATAAGAAGTATCCTCCAACCAGTAAGACAATCAACACAGGGCCAAGCAAAAACCAAGCTCTGACTGCATGATTAGTGTAACCCACAAAACATATACCAGTAACACTATTCCCATCAATTTCTCCTAGTGCCATGATTGTGACAGTGAGGACAAGTGGTAAACACCAAGCAATTAAATGAAAGTATGCCCCTTTTTTATCAATCCTGTCCTGGATTTTGCCTAGTGCTTGAAAACTCATATGCCAAGCATAAGTGAGAATGACAAACCACACCATAGCTGCCATAAGGGAGTAATACACAAGGACAAATACTACGACACATGATAAGTTTTCTCCACTGAAAATACATTAGTACACAAGGTTTGTTTATGTCTGACTTAATGATGTAATGATCTTAAACAAAAAACAGTCTATGTAATTACACAGAAAACTATTACACACATTATATAACCATAAAATACCTTGGTTCACTCATTCTTAAAGTTCCATCTTTTCTGCACACAATTACTTCCCTGCTTCCTGGTGTAAATTGAGCTAGCCACCCAATACAAGATACCATAAAACAACAATTTATATAAAATATAACTAAAGCTGGGTATTTATTTGCACTTCTCCAATCAATTAAAAATGTTATCTGGAATATTATATAAATGCAACATAATATCATATGACTGTAATTCTTTATTCATATAATTATTACTTACAACTGTGAATAAATTAAATGAACCACAGATTCCTGCAGCCCAAGCAATAAAAGAATGAATTTGTTTATGCTCATCTGGTGTAAAAAGTGGGTCATTGCATTGTGTTCCACAACCTTCAACTCCTTCAAAGATAGCAAGTGCATTATCAGTTGGGACTAATGGTTTCAGGCATTTACTAGAAATATTAAACTTTAATTCTCTGATATCATTTTTGCATAATCTAGGAAATAACTCTGTATTTTCACATTTAACAAAACTTGGCCATATTGTGTGATTAAACACAATTCTACAGGGCCCTGAAACCATTTTACACATCTCTTGTGATGGTAGGTCCACTGTATCATTGATACATTTTGGCATAAATATTGAGCACAAAAGGGGTTGAACAACTGCCCAACACTTTGGCATATGTCTTAATGCTTGTAAAACATGTAATTTTTCCTGAAAGAAACATATATTATCTAATAAAAATTAAAAAACAAAAGCCAATATTAAAAACAATATTTTTTGAATGTTAAATGTACCTTAAATAATATAAGGAAAACAAATTCACACTGTAGCAGAAAGTGCTTAGAAACAATAGAATCAAAGCAGGAAGTACCTGAGGTAATTTTAAATAGGGTCTCTTTGACCTGGGAAACCAGGTATAAGGACAAGAGAATAAGGAAAAGAGAAAGTGACTTAAAGTTATACAGAATTGCCTCTTTCAATTTAAGAAGTAAGAAACATATTTTTAAATATATATATATATACATATCTGAAGTATACCTATTATAATACATATGAAATATAATATACCTCTGTATTATCTTGAGTTACATGTTCAGGTATAAGATCCAATGTGGTAGTGGTATATGGCAATCTTGTACCCATACATGTACTCCTCTGCATCTCCACACATTTTGCTGGTCTATGGCAATTTAGGGAATCAGTTGGTAATTCTCTTATGGGATACCTGTCCAGCAGGTAACTGGAGTCCTTAATCCTATGTCTGGGACTCAGCTCCAAATCGTGTTTCCATGTATCGTTTTCATCATTGGAATTCGCGGCAAATCCATGAGTCAACTCCGGCGACACACGATGGAAAATCAGAAAACAATAAATCAACAGGAGCGTCATCTGAAAAAAATTAATATCATTAAAAAAAAAAATGTTATTACTGTACAGTTTCGTAATCGATGCACGCCTTCCCGGCACGCTATCGGTTCAATTAAGAAGAAAACGTCACGTGTATCGCACCGAGATAAACAAAGAAAGTATTTCGTGAATAAAAATAGTACCTTCGGACGCATCGCTCAAAACTACACACCAATTATTTCCTGAGCGACTATAGTCTGCCACGGAGAAACCTCTCCGGTTCGTTCGAACAAAGCGTCTTGCATCTTCTACGCTCGCGACAGCCGCATCCAGCATACGAACGCTCGGACCACACACACGTTGCGTTCGCTTCCAGGCCACCCACGACGAACCCGATGAACTTGCTCATACCTCTTTCCGGTGTTTGAATGCACGGCCGTAAACAGCTTTGTGAATATCTCGTTGGTGGCAGAACTATCGTTATTGCGCAGTATATTCTGCTCACCGAACGCGGGAAATTTAGGGACGTTTCGTTCGATTGATTTAATTTTAATAATGTACATTATTACATGATTTTTATCGTAATTATTATAATCTTCATAGTGGAATCTATCTGGTTTTCGATATTAAATGGTAATTTAATAGTAATTTTACGTGTTATAAATTACTGTGACAATGGGATTGACATTTGATAAATTACGCATTAGAAAATGTAGACATCTTTGAAATTAAATTTACTTAGGAATTTATAAGGATATTCTTTAATAGAAATTTTTTGTACACAAATTTACTACGGTATCTGATTATCATTTAATAAGCCGGACGATAAGACGTACAAGCCGCTTAATTTACATAATCAATATAGAGCAACAGAGAATACGTTTTCCAATGAGACAAGTGATGAAATACCAACGTTAATAAATGTGATAAAAATAATATAATAAAAGTGCGAGACACGTGGAGCAATTTCATAAGTTCCAGCGCTAATTTATCTATCAATTATCTTTACCTGTGTCGACCTCTGCAAGCATTTCCTTTGAGCGCAGGTGTTACAGACATGCAAGTTGTCAAACGATAGTCGCGTGTAAGGTTTATCGGTGGAAGATTTATTTTCGTAGATTTACTGAGCTCACGGTGTTAATTAACGACTATATCAATTTTGCACCCTTAACAAGCTATCAAGGCGCGAAATTTTATCAGTTTTCTTTACCTGACCTTTCCTTATTCCGGTTGTAACAGGAAATATGATAATTGCCCCTATAGTTGATTAGCTGCTGGTGTTGATAACATGCTGCTAATATATGATAAGCCTGTACTGTGTATGTCTGTACACAAGTGGAAATTAATATTAGCGGGACAATCTCTGGACAGTTTGCAAGGGATATTTGATAGTAAAACAATTCATAAAGTGACAGATGTTTCGTAAAGTAACCTGAAACATTTATTTCGATCATTTTCATTTTCATTATTTACTCCGGAGTTTACGAAAAATAAGGTAGGAATTTTCTTTCAAGAAGAAACTATTCTGCAAAATTTTTTAAATAAATTTTCGTATGAAGCAAAATATTTTACATCGGATTTTTTTTCAGATTAAAATGTTTGAAATCCTTTATCTGGGATTATATTTATTGCTCTTTGGAAATTGTATTGGTGACTACTCAGATGGGGAAACAAAATGGCAAATGCTATGTCCTGGTTTATATCCCAGAGCTTTTACAAGCTATACACCTCGTGGAAACCTTTCTAGTGGAATATATACTCCTCAACCTCACTTGAATGGCATAAAGCATTGTGTAGCTACATGCTGTACAAAGCCCACATGTAATGTGGCATTTATGCATAATGGTACTTGTTACCATATACAATGTAAAAGTTCCAAAATATGTATACCATTCTATAGAAAAGATTTGGCAAATGAAAATCCTCCAAGTATGGTCTTAGTTAAGCCTGTGGAAGATGATGAGATGTGGAGTGATTTGTTGGATCAAATAAGTGACGATACTGGGTAGGCTTTAAACTTCATATTTTATTTTCTATTATTTTCCCTTAACTAATAATTTATATTTTTCTGCTTTTTATTGAAATTTCTAGAGGTTTCCTTATGGATGGTGCAGAAAGAGATCACATTCTTTTTGGTGGATCAAATGAGATAAGTTGTATCACTCAGACAAACTGTTTAGAACATGAAGTATGTGTTAAAAGTGGGGATAAGTCTGATGTTGGAATTTGTCAGTGTTCTATTGGATTTAAACGCAATCTTGATGGTATTTGCATCATGAAATATTTTTTTTTTTTGTATAAAATATCCTGTACTTTAATATTTCATTGAAATATTTTAATTTTCATTCATTGTGGTAGGAATTTGTAGTTTGGTGGAGGACATAGAACTTGGTGTTACACCACAAATAAAGGCACAAAATATAAAAGATTCCAGTACATCTATGAAACCACCTATAAAAAGGCTATTAGTTTCTGCAGTTTCAAAAGAGGTACGGTTACCAGAGAATGAAGTAACATTGTCTGCTTATACTGTGCCAGCTGAACAGGAAAATGAACATTACAATTATGCATGGAGTCTTTTAAGTCAACCAGAAAGTCATACTGGCACAATGATTGATCAAAATCGTATGACTGTTAAATTAAGTAATTTGTCAGAAGGTTTATATACATTTAAAGTAACAGTAAATAATCCAAATGCCAATGGTGAAGCATATGCAAATGTCAGTGTTTTACCACGTAAGTTCTTCGATTATATTCATATTTGTTCGATCTGCGGTTACGACAATTTATTAAATTCGTTTTTATCAACAGCTAAAAGAATAAACCAAGCACCAATTGCCATAATTTCACCTGCATCGCAAGTTGTAAAATTACCAAATACCGGAGCTGTGTTAGATGGTTCATCGAGTAAAGATGATGATCGTGTCATTTCGTATCACTGGGAATTACAACAAGGTCCTATCGGATATCAACCAAATCTAGTCGATACACCTACCCTACAGTTAGATAATCTTATTCCTGGAAACTATACGTTTAAGTTAGTATTGAAAGTACATATTTTTTTGTTTCCATAGGGATTTAGTAATTGTTTGATATTTCGAACTTTTCTTTTTTTTAGATTGACCGTCGAAGATTCCGATCATATCACCAATTCTACGAGTGCTAATATAACGGTTTTGAAAGTAACCGATTATCCTCCTAGCGCAAATGCTGGTCAAGATATTATAATATATTTACCTCAAAATACATTGACACTGAATGGTAACTTGAGTACAGATGATCATGGAATAGCGAGTTGGGAATGGACAAAGAGTCCCTCGGACCAGAACAAAGCAGTGGATATGCAAAACACGAGAACGCCGTATTTACAACTGTCTAATTTGGAGGAGGGAATGTATACATTTGTGCTAAAAGTAACAGACGATTCTGAGCAGTCTTCTACAGCTGAAGTTCATGTGTTTGTAAAACCACCAACGAATAAACCACCAAAAGGTAATTGTTGCTTTTACCTTTGTGTTTTTAACGAAAATGTAAACGCTACTTTATTTTACACGATTTTATGTAGCCGATGCAGGCGAAGATATAACTATAGCATTACCAGAAACACGAACTGTACTGAACGGACAGAAAAGTAAAGACGATATTAAGATTGTATCTTACCAATGGGAGCAAGTGAGGTAGATCTAAATTTAGATATTAAATATATTTGTTTTATTGTATCTCGTGGTGCAATAATAAATTTTCTTTGACAGCGGGCCTAATAAGGCTGAATTTTCAGCAGTCAATGAATCGCTTACTAATGTTACGAAACTGACGAAGGGTGATTACGAATTCAAATTAACCGTGATCGACGATAATGGAAATAAAGATTCAGATACTGTTAAAGTAAAAGTTACACAAAGTATGTGCATGAAGCTGTGTCCTATTTTTTGGCAATTAATATTTTTAGTCCTACGGTCAATAAAATTAATTTTATTTCACAGATAAAAATGCTCCTCCGAAAGCAAACGCAGGCGGTGATCAAGTAGTCGTGGCACCTATTAGTGCATTGATTATTAATGGATCTCAGTCAACTGATGATTTAAGAATTAGTGAATGGATATGGACTAAAGATCCGTCTAGTCTTGCTATAGGTACCATAGTTCAGAGTACAGACAAATCATCGGTTTTAATGGTAACGATGATTAGACATTATTATATATGGAAACATTGTTTCCAATTATAAAAAATACCTTTAAACTTCTTTGTTTTTAGTTGACAGATATCGTTCCAGGTAGATATGTTTTTAGATTAAAAGTAATGGACGATCAGGGTCTTAGTAGTGAAGATACCGTCTCCGTAATAGTTAAACCTGGTAAGCGATTAAAAAAAAGAGAAAAATATCTTTTAACTTCAATGATACTTGAATTTTTCATAGATCCACAATTACTACACTTGGTTGAATTGACGTTGAACATCGGAGCAAACATGTTAACAGTATCGCAAAAGAATTCATTGGTACTAAAGCTACAAATGTTATTGCGGGATGAAGCATCAATCAATGTGCGAAACTTAAGAGCAGAACCACAAACAGGCAGAGCTGTCTTAGTTTTCTACGTTGAAAAGAAAGGTGGAAAGGCTACTATGCACGGACCGGAAGTAGTTAAACGGTTAAAAGAAAAATTAAGACAAGATTCTGGACTACTTCAATTGTCTGTTGCTAATATCGATACTGCCGTATGCCAGAACAATTGTTCAGGTAAATATTTTTTCTTAAATAATATTAAATATGCATGATTTCGTTATCCAAAAAATTTACCCTTAATTAGGTTATGGAGTATGTGATCAAGAGACAAGGTTATGCATGTGTGAGGCATTTTGGATGGAAAATTTAATACAGAAATACTTTGGTAATGGTGACTCCAATTGCGGTACGTTGAAAAAAATGTGAATAGTAAATTTTTATTTGAAGATAAATTAAACTGATTTGGAGTCATGTATTTTTCAGATTGGAGCATTCTCTATGTGATAATAGCATTATTATCTCTAGTCGTGTGTTGGGTTGGTCTTGTTTGGGGCCTCGTTTGTCTATGCCAAAGAATATGTACAGGCAAGCGACGTTCACTTCGCACTAAGAAGAAACCACCCCGTTATTCTCTTTTGCAACCGGAACCGGAAGACAGTATGTGTACATTTTTCAGATAATGATGTCACATAATGATGTCTGATCAAACTTCATGCGATTCTTTTTGTAGTTACGCCATACAAAATGGTACTATCTGAATCGGATAGTGATTCTGATGACATCGTGTTCGTAGATCGTAAGTTGAAAAAAAGCAGTCAAGTAAGAAATGGTGAATCACGAAACGGCTTTATTAAAATGGGTTCTAGAGTGAAAACATGAGGTAACCGCTATGTTTAGTGTTTAAACGAACCGTGCATTAAGTAAATCGTAATTCAGTTGCACATTCCAGGAATGTATAGAACGTAAGATCTCGTAAAGCGACGCACATCTGTGTACGTTTGGCCAAAAGAAAAACATAAAATACTAGTCAGTTAAAGGGCTGTAATTTTAAGTATGTACCTAACAAGAACAATATGATTTCTCAGACAGAAGAAGTTGCCACTTGTAAAAAGAGTTTAACAGAACTAGATGTACTTAATTAAGTACTAATTTAGAGAAACACAAGAACATGTGCTCACTTCATTGCATCTCTTGTTTGGTTTATTATATACATATACATATTTGTCTGTATTGTGTACTTGAATTTGAAACTTTTATTACGTAATTGTATATGCACCGCCGTTTATACATACGTGCGGTAATATAGCACAATAATCAAACACGGTTTGATTACGGCCTTAGAAAGTATTGGAATTAGTATTTATATATAATTATTATTCCTTATCCATGTATCCTTTGTATGTAATACTTGCTCTTTAATATGTATATCATCGATGTTATTTTTACACTGTATATGGATAAATAATAAAATTTATTATCCATATAGTCAATGCGTAAATTTATTTCATCTAAAACCTTTATCCTTTTAACGAATATAATTATTGATCATTCATGTACATAAACTGTGCAACAGGAAATAATTTTGAATTTAGTATAAAGCACTATAACGCAGCCACGATTTTGCTCGCATGCGCTCACTTTAACGTTATTTTTAACTCATTACGCTATGGCAAGCACGAAGTAGTGCAAAAGGTATTCCTACCATCCATCGACGAGTTTCTAAGCGCACTGCGTTTCTCTATAAGTTGGTGAGTTCAATTCTATTCATTTTATAATAAATAATCTAATTAATTTCAATTTTATAAATTGATAAATTAGATTAACAGCTTAACAGTGTTTATGGATTTCGTTAAATGCTCGAAATATCAATCCATAAAAAGCTGTTGCGGTGAGAAGCCGTCGATGGATGATGGAAATGAGAGCAACGAACTTCGTAATAAAGACTGTACATTCCCTGAACGAAAAAATAAAGTTGAAGGAGTGCACTCCGTTGCTAATGTAGAGCCATTACGTTTCGTTAAAAATGACCGGTAAGCATTATTTTTAATTTCGCGGTATAATAATATAAAATTAAAATCTCTTTTGATAACGATTGATTCGCTTAAAAAAAAATAGTAGGCAAGTCTTCTATTTAAAAAACAATCTAACTTTTATTAATTAGAAAGTACTTTTCTTTCTTATTTAGCTATGATGAATATTCAAAGGCACCCTTATCATGGAGTGTAAATAGAACAAATTCTATGTATCAATCTTCTGAATTACATTATGTCATGAAGGAACAAGGAAATAACGAAAGTACACGGGAAGAAATTTTTGTTTCTCTTAACACGCAGGAAAATAAAAATTTTCGGTGTCCTAGATGTGGTAAAAGAATGCAGGAGCCGAGATTACTTCCTTGTTTGCATCCTATATGTTCACCATGTGTGTCAGAATTAATGAGTAGATGTAAGTGACCTGGAACTAAAAATATAGGTATGCTATCTCAAGAGTATAAATTCTCACATAACATCTTCCTTTGTATTTATAGCCTTTTGTAATTCTGTAAAAAATGTTAGAACACAAAGTTTCCAATCAGAAAGTGAAAAAAGTAATTATTACGAACTATGTCCTTTATGCGATTTTCAATTACCAAATGCAAATTCGGCAATACCGCCTCCGCATTATCCCCTTCAGCATCGTCTGGTGATGAACGCTATTCGTTCTAGATTTGCGAATAAAATTCTTTGTGACGTTTGCGTGGATGAAGTTGTTGTAAGCATTACAATGCTTTTGGAATATTGTACACCTGAAATCGATTTTTATTTTTTGAAATATTAAATGAACATATTACTTTTAATACTTTTGAAGGCGGTTGTACAATGTGCCACATGCCTCCGCAATTTCTGCTTAGATTGTGGTATGGAACATCAACAACAAATCATTATGGAATTAAAGCCGTCGAAACATAAAATAAGGCCACTCTGGGAAGCTACCAAAGTGCGACGTACCGCACTTTGTCACAGACATCCCACACACGCATTGCGGTTTTATTGTATTGCGTGCCAACAGGTTTATAGTTAACTTCTTTATTTATACACTAATTTTCTCTTTAGTTAAAAATATTTTTTAAACGTACAAGACGTTTCTTAGGTGACTTGTAAAGAATGTATATGGAGCACCCAACACAGAGGCCATGCAAGTGAAAATGCCATTGGAGCTGGAAAAAGGGTTACTTTACACTTGACAAGAATGCTGCAAAGAGCAAAACTGGTTTTAAATATGGTCTTGACACAGTATGATCGAAAAGCGTTTTCAAATGGTACTCTAGAAGAAATAAGGGATACTACTATTTCAATGGACTATCGGTATGTTAAACTGATATTTTAACAAATTTATGAAAAAGTCAGGAATATTCTGAAATAAAAGGTACATTAGCATAAGGGGAAATTTATATGTATATTGTCATGTGATGATTAAATTGTATGTACTATTGCTATAAGTTATATGATGAAACTGTCATTTGAGGTACAACTTATACATTCCTAAGGAGTATACAAACTGTGCTGGAAAGCACAAAATGACTGTTACTATACAAATAATTTTAAGGATGTCATTTTTTGAAAAAATGTATGTCATGACATTCCATTATTTTGTACTACTACTTATTGTATAATAAATAATCATTTATAAAAGATAAGAAGACATATCTGTGAAAAAATAAAATTTATTTTAAACCACTAATATTAAAATAGCAGTTGATGCATATATTTTTGAAGAGCTAGACAGTCTCCATAACGCAAGATGGATCCACAGCAGGACCAGTGATGTACACCAGGATGTCCTATATGACCATGACCACAGCCTTGATATCCACCTTTAATTACATTATCTTGTACTATATCAAATAACAATGTATACTTAAAATATTTAACAACAGTATATATTACCAGGCATAGTTCCTCCACATCCACAAGTGACTTCCTTTTTACCCCCACTTGAACAAAACGTACAACAGTGGTAAATACCTATATGAGAAGGTTTCAATGTTGATGTCCTTGTACTTTTTCTACCATTTTCTATAAAAATTATATTTGACTCAGAGAAAAGAAGTAACAATAATAATTTACACATCTTTATAATTGAATGATTATTTTTCTTACCTAATGATATATTAAATACCCCTAAAATCTTTAACCTTGTTACTATTGTGCTAGCAAGACTCAATATTTCTACATCTGATCCATCTGTGAGTAATTCATTTGTTAAAGAAATAGCATCAAGAAGTTGTCTTGCCCTTTTTAATCTATTGAATTCTTGAATCCTTTCTTGCGCCTGTCTAGCATGTGACACCGCTGTACCACACTTCCATGTCTTTGATCCATTATTTACAGCCTCATTGAAACATCTGATTAAATTAAGTAATTAAAATTACTTATATCTACATTTCTAAATTATGCATTCTTATCAGATAGTACCCTAAGTGAAGTCCTTAATTTTTTTAGGTTATAAAGATTAAATAGGTAATTGTCATGTGATGAATATTTAACCAAATTTCTTATTATTCTAGAATAATATATTGTAAATAACTTTATATCACTGTCATTTGAGGTTCAAGCACATTTCCTAAATAAAATATATTATTATACATTCGTAACTAACCATCTTACCTATACAGCCTTCAATTGCAAGTTATCACACTTTATTGGAATATCATTATTATTCTTTAATTCTTAGATTAAATCTTTGTAACATTATTAATACAATATATTTAACGTTCCATTTGGACTTTTCCACTGTCCTCCCAATGTCGATGACGCATTCATTATCACACACGCGTAGTATATGAAGTATCTTGACAACAAAGATGTTGAATTGTAGCACAGACGACGTGTAGGTTAAATCTAACATCTAACATTAGTATGTAGGGGTGGGAATTAGAATTAAATCTAACTATGCAATTATAATTAAGAAAGAAACGTAATTGTTTATTAGTAAATGATTCCTCACATGCGCGTATTCTGCTGTTGGCAAAAGACCGTGAACTGTTATAGACACGCAATTCAATATATTCAGTCGTATTTACTACGAGGGATAACTCGTCGAGGTAAGTATTTAGCAATACAAAAACAAGTAAGGCCAAGAAAGATAGAGCGGTAAACAAGGATAGCACTAGTGTAATGAGTTAGACAAGGAAAGAAACAGGGATAAACAAGAATACCAGTATTGTAATGTGTTAGACAAGGAAAGATATATGGAAAGACAAGGACAGAAAAAAATATCGGTAGGTGAGACTAGCGGCATCTCGCGTTTGGAGACGTGAACTACGGTGTTAGACAAGGAAAGCACTATGGTTAGTCAAGGACAGAAGAAAAATTGGCAGGTGTGACTAGCGGCATCTCGCGTTTGTAGACGTGAACTACGGTGTTAGACAAGGAAAGCACTATGCAAAGACAAGGACAGAAAAAATATCGGCAGGTGAGACTAGCGGCATCTCGCGTTGGGAGAGGTGAACTACGGTGTTAGACAAGGAAGGCACTACTGTGCGACAAGGATAGAAAGAAAACGTTTCCTATTGGTCCGCAACCCGCTGAGCTCCGCCCCTCTGGGCCACAGCCCCGTGGGCCGGTGAAAAATCATTAATAACTCATTAATTAGGACGATTTTGTGAACTTTTATGATTGAAGAATGAAGTCTGGACCTTCAGCAACTTTCTCATATAGTTTTTCATGCAATACATACTTTCAGTAATTAGTTATTAACAATTATTGTGTAGCGTGTCGGCAGCAGTACCGCACACCATTCAAGTTTTTTATTAATTTCGCAGGTTTATACAAATAATTTATGCACTTTCAGACATGCGTTCGAAAGGCTATTCCTTTACCTAGTTTCTCGTTATATTTTTATTAACATATCCGTTGTAATTTGTGAGATATTGAACATTATCTGGATAAGTACTACACTCGTCGCATTCAAGCGTAACATATTCCCGTAATTTTCATTAATAACTCAATAATTACGATAATTTTGTGAACTTTTAGTATTGAAGAATGTGGTATAAACCTCCATCAACTTTCTCATATAGTTTTTAATGCCCTAGACCCTTCCAATAATTAGTTATTAACAATTTTAGTATGTGATGTCGGGAACGTATTGTATACTTTACGGTTCTTCAATAATTTCATAGGTTTCTATTAAAATTCCCATGCAAGTAACTATATGCATCTAGAAGGCAATTCCCTTAGCTACATTCTCATATCATTTTTATTAATATATTCGATTTAGTTCAAGAGTTATTAAACATTCTTTGGAAGAGTGTTACACCCGTCGTATTCAATCGTAACACATTTTCGTTATTTTAATAAAAATGCATGATGAATTACACACTTTTAAGTATGCAGAATGTAGAATGGACTTTTATCTTTATTCTTCAATGATTTTGGTAGACGTAAGTGGTGTGGTTTATTAGATATTAGCAATTGTTTATAACAGTTGACTATACTCGAGTACGATGAATAGGGAACTCTCTCATATAATGTTCATCAATTGCGAATATCTATGAATCCATCCATGAATTGTGAACTTTTGGTGTTGAAGAATGAAGAGTGGATCTTCAGCAACTTTCACATATAATTTTTATTACGCTAAACTCCTTCAATAATTAGTTATTAATAATTTTAGTACGTGATTTCGGGAACGATATCGCACACCGTCAAGTATCTTTATGGTTTTTTAATAATTTCACAGCTTTCTGCTAAATTCTCATGCAACTGGCTATACGCATCTGAAAGGCAACTCCTTTGGCTATATTCTCGTTATATTATATGTATCAATTAAATATAATAGGGACGATAATAGCAATAGCTAAGAGAGACAAGAAAACTAATAGCGGTAGATAAGGATAGTACAAGTGAAACGAGTTAGACAAGGAAAAAAATAGGGGTAAACAAGGATAGCACTATTGTAATGTGTTAGACAAGGAAAGATATATGGATAGACAAGGACAGAAAAAAACAACAACAGGCGAGACTAACGCCATCTCGCGTTTGGCTTCGCGAAGTAACCACTTGTTACTAGTATAACATAATGTGAACAGAGCTATTAGACAAGGAAAGCACTAGTGTGTGAGAAGGACAGAGAGAGAACGCTTCCTATTGGCTGGCGGGCCATCATGGCGGACCTTCCAGGCCCAAATCGAGACGGTCGGTGAAAAATCGTTAATAACTCAGTAATTAGGACGATTTTGTGAACTTTTATGATTGAAGAATGAAGTCTGGACCTTCAGTAACTTTCACATATAGTTTTTAGTGCTCTAAGTCCTTTCAATAATTAGTTATTAATAACTTTAATGCCTGATGTCAGTAACGATACCGCACATCGTTAAGTACCTTTGCGGTTTTTCAATACTTTCACAGCTTTCTACTAAATTTGCGTGCAACTAACTATATGCATCTGAAAGGCAACTCCCTTAGCTATATTCTCATATAATTTTTATTAATATATTCGATTTAGTTCAAGAGTTATTAAATATTCTTTGGGAGAGTATTACACCCGACGTATTCTGTCGTAACACGTTTTCGTTATTTCAATAGAAACGCGTGATGAATTACACACTTTTAAGTATGCAGAATGTAGAATGGACTTTTATCTTTATTCTTCAATGATTTTGGTAGACGTAAGTGGTGTGGTTTTTCAGATATTAGCTATTGTTTAAGACGTTTGCCAATACTCGAGTATGATGAATAAGGGACTCTCTCATATAATGTTTAATAACTCTGTAACTAAACCGAATATGTTAATAAAAATTATACGAGAATATAGCCAAAGGAGTTGCCTTTCAGATGCGTATAGCCAGTTGCATGAGAATTTAGCAGAAAGCTGTGAAATTATTAAAAAACCATAAAGATACTTGACGGTGTGCGATATCGTTCCCGAAATCACGTACTAAAATTATTAATAACTAATTATTCAAGGGGTCTAGCGCTCTAAAAACTATATGTGAAAGTTGCTGAAGATCCACTCCTCATTCTTCAATACTAAAAGTTCACAATTTTTAGATAGATTCATAGATATTCGCAATTGTTTATAACAGTTGATTATGCTCGACTACGATGGTTACGAGACTGTCCCCTATAATGTTTAATAACTCCTAAACTATACCGAATATGTTAATGAAACTTATAGAAGAATGTAGCTAAAGGTGTTACCCTTCAGATGCATATAGATACTTGCATAGGAATTTAGTTAAAAGCTATGGAATTATTGAAAAAGCGTAAAGGTATGCAGTATCGTTCCCGACATCACATACTAAAATTATTAATAACTAATTATTGAAGGAGTTTAGCGTAATAAAAATTATATGTGAAAGTTGCTGAAGATCCACTCCTCATTCTTTAATACTAAAAGTTCACAATTTTTAGATAGATTCATAGATATTCGCAATTGATGAACATTATATGAGAGAGTTCCCTATTCATCGTACTCGAGTATAGTCAACTGTTATAAACAATTGCTAATATCTAATAAACCACACCACTTACGTCTACCAAAATCATTGAAGAATAAAGATAAGAGTCCATTCTACATTCTGCATACTTAAAAGTGTGTAATTCATCATGCATTTTTATTAAAATAACGAAAATGTGTTACGATTGAATACGACGGGTGTAACACTCTTCCAAAGAATGTTTAATAACTCTTGAACTAAATCGAATATATTAATAAAAATGATATGAGAATGTAGCTAAGGGAATTGCCTTCTAGATGCATATAGTTACTTGCATGGGAATTTTAATAGAAACCTATGAAATTATTGAAGAACCGTAAAGTATACAATACGTTCCCGACATCACATACTAAAATTGTTAATAACTAATTATTGGAAGGGTCTAGGGCATTAAAAACTATATGAGAAAGTTGATGGAGGTTTATACCACATTCTTCAATACTAAAAGTTCACAAAATTATCGTAATTATTGAGTTATTAATGAAAATTACGGGAATATGTTACGCTTGAATGCGACGAGTGTAGTACTTATCCAGATAATGTTCAATATCTCACAAATTACAACGGATATGTTAATAAAAATATAACGAGAAACTAGGTAAAGGAATAGCCTTTCGAACGCATGTCTGAAAGTGCATAAATTATTTGTATAAACCTGCGAAATTAATAAAAAACTTGAATGGTGTGCGGTACTGCTGCCGACACGCTACACAATAATTGTTAATAACTAATTACTGAAAGTATGTATTGCATGAAAAACTATATGAGAAAGTTGCTGAAGGTCCAGACTTCATTCTTCAATCATAAAAGTTCACAAAATCGTCCTAATTAATGAGTTATTAATGATTTTTCACCGGCCCACGGGGCTGTGGCCCAGAGGGGCGGAGCTCAGCGGGTTGCGGACCAATAGGAAACGTTTTCTTTCTATCCTTGTCGCACAGTAGTGCCTTCCTTGTCTAACACCGTAGTTCACCTCTCCCAACGCGAGATGCCGCTAGTCTCACCTGCCGATATTTTTTCTGTCCTTGTCTTTGCATAGTGCTTTCCTTGTCTAACACCGTAGTTCACGTCTACAAACGCGAGATGCCGCTAGTCACACCTGCCAATTTTTCTTCTGTCCTTGTCTATCCATAGTGCTTTCCTTGTCTAACACCGTAGTTCACCTCTCCCAACGCGAGATGCCGCTAGTCTCACCTGCCGATATTTTTTCTGTCCTTGTCTTTGCATAGTGCTTTCCTTGTCTAACACCGTAGTTCACGTCTCCAAACGCGAGATGCCGCTAGTCTCACCTACCGATATTTTTTCTGTCCTTGTCTTTCCATAGTGCTTTCCTTGTCTAACGCGTCACTATTGCTATCCTTTTCTACCCGCATTCCTGTTCTTGTCTTTCTCGTTTCTCTAGTGCTATCCTTGTCTACCGTTATTCGTTTCCTTGTCTCTCTTCACTATGTACTGCTATTCTTGTCATGCCTATTATATTAATTGATATTTATTATCAATTTTTAATTGTTTTAACATTACTAATAATGTAGATAGTAAAATACAGTTTCTGGCTTATTTTCAAGCACTTTAATTATAGAATAATTAGTATTTCCTGTCAAAAGCAGTTTATATGGTTGTTTATAATTATTGGAAGTCTTACAGAAATTGTTTATAACTTTTATTAATAATTAGAAAAATTAATGTTCTTTTCGTCTAAATTACAGATGGACTATTCAGGACACAATAGAAATGAAAGAAAAGACTTGAACATCGGAAAAAATGAGGAAATGCAATTATTTATCAAAAAATAAATTATTTATTGTAAGTTAAGTGTACAAAATGTATTTTTGCAAATGGTTACAATATACCAGCATTGATTGACCACATTTTACAGTTTATTTAAATTCATACCTTTATATCGTAGAGGACATAACAAAACCTCTGATTTTTTACACGATCGGTATTTCAGAACGTTGGACACAAAAATATGATAGTGGTAAGTCTATTTTGTATCTTGTCTATATTGTTAGATTAGAGTTAAGAATAATAAAGCAATATAAAGCTAAAAACTAAAACGATCTATATATTTTATAAACCTAATTTAACGCAAAATAAATTAATAACTACTTGTTTGTATAAAACGGTCGTATTATGTTACATTGTCACTGTGCAGTAACGCTACATATACAACTACAATATTTTTTTAACGTATTGACATACATAAATTAAAACTTATGAAATAATTATAATTTTAACATTTTGAGGAATTTGGGCTTCATGGAATTTTGTTGTATAATACTTTTTATAATACCTAAATAAATGTTCAAATATTTTATTGTATTTTTATTGTTTCTTTAAACAGAACAATGTTTAATTTGGCTAAAACATAGGCAAGATTATAGAGATTTCTACACAATACGGACAATTTTAAACATTCATAAATAGTTAAAATATTTTGGTTTTGTCATACTTGTTAAAAACTAATGTAAAATTATCTTTAGCTAGAAAAATAGATAGCTGCATCTTTAAATATAACAAGATACAAGTGATTCTTAATCCTAATAAATTGCAACTTGCTGTATTAAGCTGCAGTACTTTTGGTATTTTACAATAAATTAAATTAAACATCTAAAAGTTAATTACTGCAAAAGGTAGAAGTGTTATACACTACAATTAAGTGCAACACCTAGGAAATCTTCAAATCCAATACTAATTTCTCCTGATTGATTAGTATCCCTTACACGAAAAGCATCTGTAATAAGAAGTTAAAAACATTCGTTATTATATTAATCATTCAATTACTTTTGTCTTCATATGTTATGTTTTCAGTCATTGTCTACCTGTGAATCTCTGAATTTGGACGCACAATACAATAAATTGATCAATAGTGATAGAAGAGTGACCAGTAGGATCACTTTTTTTTATAAGGAATGAAATAAACTCTGGACTTAATCTATATCCCATTTGTGTTAAAGCTGCACTTAATTCACTCTCTTGTATATTTCCAGAATTATCATGGTCAAAACCACGGAATACACTTAGCCATGCATTGATGTAGTTATAAAGAGCTTGGAATTCAAGCAAATCTATTGTACCACTTTTTTCCTTGTCAAACATTCCTATAAAAACATGATAAAATATTCTGAATAGTTAAGCTATAAAATTATTTAATTGAAAATATATTGTTATTAGGTTATTAAATTTTAAGAACTTACCTATCATTAATGTACAAGCAGTATCTGAAAATGTGCCTCCTTGTCCATTTGCTAATGCAGCTTTTAATTCCATAGCTGTGATTCTTCCACTGCCATCCCTATCGACAGCAGCAAACCACTGTTGTACTTCTGGGTTTACTTGTGCTTGGGTATCACTTGCTCCATACATTGTGTTCTAAAAATGTACAATATGGACAAGTTATAAATAAATGAAACAGCAATATTATTTAAATAATTGTTGCAATGCTTTGCAAACAATCACAATGAGCATAAATAATATACTGAGAATAAAACGAAATGAAAAACGAAATGAAAGTTTCACTTATTTACGAAAGATATTTTGATCTAAACTGCAGAAACGTAATTACCGGATAGGCCATGACAGCAGTTTTCTGTCAATTGTCTAACAGTATTAATTACAGTGTGTATTCAATTTCTGTATTACTATATACAATACAAATACAGTTCGCGATATACATACGTGTACTGCTATGTTATGTGTACAAATTAACCATATATAAAAATCGAAATTAAATATTTAATTAATTATTTTATATTTAAAATATTATTTGCTTCTATATATTTCACAAAGCTTGCAATATACTTTACTTTACAACGTTTTCTCGTAAAATGATTGGTAATTTTTACATTTTTATAGTTCACGCGGTACAAATGACAGTGCCATCTTACAAATTGTTTTGCATTTAGTACGATTATGTACACACATAGAGGGTAGGGTGTTCACCAGTGTTCACTTTTGCTTGCTTTTCTGACAGTAGTATTAGGAAAGAAAAAAACGGCTGATAGACGTTATATTCATCGTTGATAATACGCTGCTGATTTAGGTTTCACGATGGACGATTTACAGAATTATAAACTGCAGCTTCAACAGGTGAGGCTTTTGTTTTTTGCTTAACCTAACTCGAACGGTCGAATGGCGAGTCCATTTTTGGCGATTCCTTTCTTGTTTACGACGTTACAACGTTAAATGGATTTTGTGTTTTACTGTTTTAGGTGGAAGCAGCTCTTACCACGGATCCTACTAATGAAGAACTCTTGAAACTGAAAATCGATCTTGAGGAAGTAATAGAGCTGACACATGATTTAATTAAATCACAACAACAGGAAAAAAGGCAAGCCAATGGCATGGATGCTAAAGATCCTATTTTACTTGCAGTTCTGGCCAATAAATGGAAGGTTAGTGATCAGTGCATGGCACCCTGGAGTGAAGACGGCAAGTAAGTAATTGCAACTTGTATATATTTACTTTAATAAAGTAACAATTATGTGTCTCTAACATCACTTAGTGAATGAAGTAGTTTTGTTGATACATATGTTTTCTTATTGTTATTGAATTATTACAGATATTATGAGGCAACTATAGAAGCAATAAGTGAAGACGGCGTTGTTAATGTAACTTTTAATGAATATAAAAACACAGATGTCACAATGCTTAGTCAATTAAAGTCAGTAGCTAAAAGGCCAGCATCAGATTGGGCAGATCAAAAGTCAAAGTAAGTTCACAAAAAATTTTATCAATTTCATTTATTAGTAGTTGCTATTAACACAAACCCCCCTGCAATTTGAAGCACATATCAGTTTTCTTTGAGGAACTGCGGGTTAAGTTTTATAAGATACAATGATTACTAATTGTTCATTTTTCTCCCAATTCCTTTATTTCCAATTGGCCATGATAATCACTCTACTGTTGGGTGTGCCTTGATCTGAAATTCCATTATTGTTCATTTGTCTCTTGGTGTCGCACTGATCGTGTACATCACTGGAATCCAGGAAAAGGTAACAAGAAATAATAGATTTTTGTTGAAATAATGTTTTTATTCTCTACAAATATGGTTGCATATGATTCTAAATAGTATGTTAGTTTAAATTTAAACTTGAGTGCAATAATGATGTTTTTAGGATTATATGATTAAGAATTTAACATAGTGAAGTTTAGGATGATTTATAAAATTAATAATTTAAAAACTTTCTAGCTTCAATTTATATTAATTTACACTAATATGTTTCTAGGTGAAATAAAATTATTTCTATTTTGTCATAGATGTGAAACATTAGATTTTATATGTCATGGAGTAGTAGCAATTACTAACTATTTTTATATCATAATAAATTTTATTCAATAATTGATATTAATAGAATTTATTACAGCACTATTCATATTTTTTATCTTTAGCAGTACAATTTATATGGAAGCATCTTATCATGGTAGAGATTTATCTTCAGTGGTTACTTTCATGAGTGATAGGTTTATTAATTTGCAGAAAAATGCAAGCTGCTGCAGTAGCAGGTTCAGATCCTAATAAACAAAGAGAATACCTTAAGAAAAAGAAACAAAGAAAGCTTCAGAGATTTAAAGAACTCGAAGAGGAACGCGAAATGGAGAAAAATAAATGGCTGGCATTTACAAACAAGGTATTATTAGTAAACGATTTAAAAATCTATTAACCAGTTTCCTAATTACTAATATTTTGTATCGTAAAATACAGTCTTCGAAAAAAGGAGTCATTAAGAAGAGTATATTTGCAACACCAGAAAATGTAAATGGCCGAGTCGGAATCGGCACGTGTGGCGTAAGCGGTCGAGAAATGACGAAATTCAGTAATGGCGAGAAATGGAGGAGGGGAGCATGAATACTATTGTAAATACGCAATTTAATACTTCGTGAAATAGAACTATCGATTATTGTTATTACGCTGAAACCAGTTCTCGAAAGAATTGAGGAAACGTGTTTTGTGTTGTGAGAATGTTACCGAGTACATGAATGGGGAGTGTTTAGCGGTATTTTTAGATTGCGTGTAGTAATTATGTTACGGACGAACAATGACCTCAAATAAATCCTGATGTTATTTGGATTTTCTACCTTCATGAAATGAATGACTGTCGTGAATGAATGTATTTCTAGATTAATACATTTATGTGGGTATGATTTGTTTATAATCTGTAACAGATATGAATAAATGTATATTTTAAAGTCAAACTGTGTTAAATACCTAAATCTTTTTATAAAGTATTCTCATCGTATATACACGTCATTCATCAACTTTTATGTATAAGAATTTCTTTTTTTTGTTTCGTTTTGTATCATTTAATTATCTATTTCATGACCTTTTTATTGATCAATAGGTAATTTTCCCTCCTAGAGAAATTTGTTTATTCAAGTGAAAACGTCCAATCAGATGTATTGTAATTATGATGCATTATAGAGATGAAGTAATCGCCTCTTACACTGCTTATAGTTAATACCGTTAGAAAGATCAAAAATGGTCGTTCTATCGTGGAACAGCACGTCACCACTAGGTGATATATTCAAGGCGATAAGGCTGATATAAGAAGTTGATAAATTGTAAAAAATGTATTTACCAAATTATATTATTGTGAGGGCCTATAATAATTATCGTTTCGTTTAAAATACTGGAATAGTGTTCTAACCTATTCAAATAAAATTTTATCAATAAACATTAACTCCATCTGACGTTTTCTTTTTGTTATGTTAGTCAAATAACTCGATATTTATTTTCCTAAAGTTACAATTGATAATTAAAATTTTACTTTAAAAATACCGAGCAACATGCAGTATTGTAAATGATGCAAAGATGATTCATAAAGAACAATTGTTTATGTGCTTGCAATTTTATTATCTACAATTTTCACCAAGTTGGAATTGATTAAAAACAAGAAGACTGACTTAACTGTTAATCACAAGTAGTTTATCATTGTACAAAGTACTGCATTTGTATAAAAAAAATCATGGAGACAAATGAAAGAAATCAGCTGTCAAATGGAGATGCTGCAAACAATAGAGATATAGATTGGTCCAGATATGGATTACACAATAATGCAGAATCCCAGAGGAATAATGAAACACAAAGGACCAACAGAGAATATGAAGAACTTGGACCTGAAATGTATCAAACTGGAGCAAATGAATTGTTTGCTCAAGAATATGTAAGTGATTAAGATACCAATATCTGTGATCTGTATTTCAAATTTGTGCATTTCAGAGTTCTGATCCTTGGTGGAAATCAAATTTTTTCATTTCCCAACCTGTATTGTTTGGAACATGGGATGGGGTGTTTACATCTTGTCTTATTAATATTTTTGGAGTTATTGTATTCTTAAGATCAGGGTGGATAGTAGGTCAAGCTGGGGTTCTTAATGCTGTATTAATAATTTTATGTACAGGTAGTATTAATTGCTTCTCTGTGTATTCATGATTTTGAATAAAGATATTTAGTGTTTTATCATTTTTTCAGTATGCATTGCATTAATATCAGTGTTATCTGCTGTGGGTATATGTGAAAGATGTCGTGTAGAAAGTGGGGGAGTTTACTTTCTACTGTCACATGTGTTAGGATCAAGATTTGGTGGATCTATTGGATTGCTATATTGTTTTGGACAGGTGGGATAATTTGTATATAACTAATAGTTGGAATATTACTTTAAAACTTTTTTTAGGCGGTGGGCTGTGCTCTAAATGTTCTAGGTTTTGGAGAGTCTATGGCTGGTCTTGTGGGTTTAGAATCTGCATGGGCAGAGCGTGGTTTTGCTTGTACTGCTGTTATCTTGTTATCTATTATTAATATAGCAGGTGTCAAGTGGGTTATAAAGCTCCAATTTATTCTCTTGCTAATTTTATTGCTTGCTGGTGTAGACTTTATGGTTGGAAGTTTCACTCATGTGAATGTTGGTAAGATGAGACAGACTACAGTTTATGATGCATATTTCATTACTTCTGACAAGTGCATAATCCTGTACATATTTTGTAAATATTATAGATGCTGGGTTTGATGGTTGGTTGTCAGGAAATTTAAAAAATAATACTTTCCCCAACTATCAGGATGGATATAGTTGGTTCACAGTATTTGGTGTATTCTTTCCCACAGTAACTGGTGTTTTAGCTGGTATTAATATGAGTGGAGATTTAAAACATCCATCTACCGATATTCCTAACGGCACATTGGCAGCTGTAGGAACTGGGTAAAAATCGTAATTGAAAAATGTTCGTATTATGTTTATTGTGAAAAAATTAATTAAAATTTGCTAATTTAATTTCAGAACTCTTTTATATCTATGTTTTTCAATGTTTCTTGCTGCAACTTGTACTCGAAAGGCACTTCTTACGAACTTTATGATTGCATCAACGGTGTCGGCGATTTCAGTATTGTTGCTAGCAGGTCTTTATGTGTCGTCATTTAGTAGTTGTTTGGGCGCAATGTATGGTACTCCTCGAGTTTTGCAATCTATTGCTAGTCAAAATGTTATTCCAGGGATCAGTTGTTTGCAAAGAGGAGTAAGCTTGATTTTACAATCCTGCATTTTTATAACTATTGTGTACAATGATTACCTAACTTAATCTTAAATCCTTTAGAAAGGACCAAACAAGGTGCCGATATATGCGATGTTAGTTGTCGCCATTGTTACATTGACCTTTATCATTGCCGGTCAAATTAACACACTTGCGCCAATAGTTACAATGCCATTTCTCTTGACGTACGCGTGTTTAGACTACGCGTATTTTGCCCTCGCACAAACATTCGATATACAATTGTCCCGTGAGCAAAGATTTCGAACGCAGTCTCCGACATTCGATCGCGAGTACGGCTCTGCAAGTCGCACCAATTCAATAACTGATATTGATAATGATCTGGATAGTTTATTCCCCGAACGGATAAGACATAAGAATCTTGTCGTAAGTACAAATAAACATTTGTCTGATTACTGCATGAAGAAGGAAAAAAAAATATTTTATTTATTATTTTCAGAGAAATCCCAGTCTTTCCGAAAATAATGTTTATATAGATTCTTCACCAAGTATTGATGAAAATGGTAGTAGTACAGATAATTCTGAACGAAAAGTTCATATTCATAATAAGCTAGGAAATTGGTACAGTCCTTTGTGTAACAGATGGTTTTCTCTACTAGGAGTAAGTTTTTTTCTTATACCATTAAATCAATAATTTGAATACAGTTGTAATATAAATTTACTTTGTAGTGTCTCATAAAATTACTCATTATGTTTCTCGTTCATTGGGGTTACGCTATTGCCAATATCGTTGTGGTTTTCCTTGTTTGGAGTTACATTGGTCACGCTAATCCTGCAGTTAAACCAGGAGTTTCGTCTGAATTTAAATTTTTCAAGTGGCTAAGACTGTCGATATTAAGGCTTATGGGGTAATTTTTCAAAATTGTTGCAATATTTTTTGTATTCTTTTTTCACATCTAGAAAAAATGTTATGTACAAATTTCAGGAGAAAAGTTTACGATTATGAACAAATTGTCGTTACGCCTGTGCATCCGGGTGTAGAAACTTGTCAGGCACAATTGAACGAGGAAAATGAAGATTTTGCTGGTAGGCGAAGATATCATCAAACAGCTACAGTTACGGGACAATATGTGAACGTTGATTGAATATCGAGCATACAAGATAACTAGGAAAAATTACGATTTTAAGAGAAGGAATTGTATAAGAATCATATTACTTTCATAATTTAGAATAGAGCAAAACCGAGAGAAGAGCGTTGCAATTTGTAACGCTAATGATCGCACAAAACTAGTCTAATTAAAAACATTTCATATCTTAGGCACAAGGAATTTTTTATCAAATGCCACACAGTAGCCTTAATAATATTAGTAATTGAATAAGAAGAAGAACAGAAAATATGCCATGCCTAGCGGTTGAATAACACAAAAAGTTATCGCGCGACTTTTTGTACCAATTTACACGACGTACGTCAAACACGGTTGAAACGACAGACTGCCAGAAGTATTTCTAAAATGGAGGGTCCATACAATCAGTGAATTATTTTAAGAGCTATCTCTTCTATCACGAGATTATTTATTCTTTATAGCCCTTATAAGTTTTAGTTAGAACTAAATTGTAATATTTTACGTATTGTACGGAGGTACCGAGAAAAACAAGAAATGCTGGATATCATAATATTTATAACGAATACTCTGTAAATACGTAGGGATATCATATTTATATGCTATTTAACATTTTTTATAAATGTTGCTACAAAGATGGATATGTTAATAATAAAATATACAACAGACTAATATACGAAATGCGTGTTAAAAATTCTTTCCGTAATTTTTAATTAAAATACTATAATCCCTTGAATTGAGAAGAATTAAAACATTAAATCCAAGTATTATAGATTTGAATGTGCTTCGAATCGTTTAAATTTTTCTAATGGTACTACTTTAATCAATTGAGCATTTGGCGCGTTGGCGGTTATTTTTTTGGCGCGTAGGCGGTTATTTATTTGGCGCGTTTTTGTATTTTACAAATTATGCAGTATTTATACACTTTTTCGTATTACATTGCTGTATATAAATTTTTATAACACGTTTTCGCACGTAATACATCAAAATAAAGCGTAATTTATTAGATATAAAAGTTTTAACCTCGAGAAATGTCAAATTTTTAATTAAAATGCACTTCCGGTTTGACACTGCGTCGGCGCACGCAGTCCTTGGCGAATAGAATCGTTTGAAAGTTCGTGCGGAGTGTCAGAATGATCGTGTGTGTTAATTAATAGTGCAATTTTACTTTTATAATAGAAGATATGTCTGTTTTCTTGTTGCTAATTTTATTTTTAGTGGTATCAGAAGCAGTGCGCGACGCGATAGTGATTACAGTGTTCTCTAACTTATTTTTCCGCGATTCGTAGTTCGACGAAGTGCAGTGATCTCGAATAAGGAAATGCATAGCGTCGACATTTCATTCTCGCGAAACAGGTAAAATTCTTGACACTTGCAACAGAAAATTGAATCGAAACTTTCAAATAGGTTTTGTTCCTGAACAATTTCGTTTTCCTGCATTTTCAGGTTTCCAGTTCTCCAACTTCTCAACTACATGGTCTTCGTATCGACTCGGTTATCTACGTCATGTGAGTTCTATACAACGCATTTTTATCTTACAATTCTACCTTATTCCCATTATTGAACACAATGTTCGATTCTTTACATGTTATTTTATCATAAATATTTAATAACAATTAAAATAAAGCAACGCAAAATCTCGTCGTAAATGTTTCATTACAAATTCGTCGAATATTCTTCGACAATCGGGATAAAAGAATTGCGTGTCTTGCTGTCGGGCGCCATATTTGTCAATTAAAATTGTATATTCGTGGGATTACGTCTACGTTTACCGTCGATTTCGCTAAAAACGGGCACGTTTTAATCCTACCAGCCGTTTTCAGATCACGAGTGTAATTTATATTTATTATTTATTCACGCGTGGATTGTGTTTCGTTCACGATGTCGCATATACGCCGAGCTATTAATCGCTCGAGATTCGGTAGGTACCGGTGGGCGGCTAAACATGCGGCGAGAGCTTCGCAAGCCAGGAGGTTCGCGGTTACCTCGTGGTGAACCGTCACGGTTAACCCTCCTCCGTGGGCTAGCCTCTTAGGTGGTTGCATTAAAATACTCCACGGCGCCAGAATGCGAGATAATTAGTTACGGTGTATCAACGTGTATTTCTGATTCCCTGTTGCGTCTCTCGAACGTAATTGTATTTCAGTTCAGTTTCTAGTAGCTTTTCTTGGTGATAACATGCAATAGAAAGTATTGAAATATTGTTTAAGGGATAAGTACTATTTTCTGTATTAGTGATTTATTTTAACATCATTTTTCTAAGAGGATTTATTATTTCAGGAAATTAAGATTTTGGTGGCTTTTTTGCCAATTAATAGGACTTAAAAATATCAGAATATAAATATTGCAGGTTTATATAACACAGTGTGGTACATGTAGAAAACAAGTTTTGATATATTTTGCTATATAAAATTGTTTCTGTTTTAATTTTCATTTCTGGTCATGCAGTCTTTTTTATGTCCATACTTCAGATATGTTTGGTCATATCTGTGAGATTTTGGTAGCCTTTATAATAAGTAGAATTAAATAGATAACAATGTAAGATAGAGAGATTTTAAATAGCAGTGAACTGCTTCTAAATAGAAGTGCAATACCAAGTAGGTCTGTAGTATGACTACTTATACTACTAGTCAGCAAGTTTCAGGGAACTTGTGCTTCCATGTTGTACTTCTTACTCAACTTACTATTGTACTTCTCATAAAGAGAGTTGAGTCTGAGAAAAAAGATGTAGCTTTATAAAGATAGAGCTTCAACTACCTGTTTATAATTCTGTGGCTAAAGTTTTTACAAACTTTTGCTTATAAAAACCATCAAACACATGAAATTTCTCATTTTGTTAGGTACAGTTTATATCAGCTCTTTACTGAAATACTAAAAATTCCTTTAAACAAACAACCACTTGTTCTTCTTACTAGAATTTACTTTTACCAAAATTAATTCTTTATCAGAAATTAGCTGCATTAGAAATATTAAAAATTTCTTCAAGAAAACATTCTCTTCTCTAACCAAAAAAAATTCATAAGTCTTGGACCCGTTCTTTGCAAGAGAACCATAAGTCATCCATGGTCACATAAATCTAAGATTCTTTTGGCACATTATATGCCCGGCCTCCCGTGGACCGCGTTTCCAAAGTACGCGGGGGAAACTTTTATTACACGACGTATGGTATTTCCCTCCGCTCCTCGAGAAGTATTATCGGAAATTTATTCAAAGGGGTCATTGTGTATACATTGAGTGGGCAGGCTCGCGTAAAACGGCCGCGACTTTAACCGTGAGGCTGGTGGAAAAGCGAGAGGTCGAGTTCTGAACAAGTCACAGAAACAAGAAGCCTTTGCCGTGGCGGAAAGTTCCCGCGTACACCTGGAAACTCCTGGTAAATCTGCAACCCGTGGAAACCGCCGACTTTCCCGTAGAGATCATCTGATTCGCGTGAAACGCTTTCGGAAAATTTCTAATGCAAAGTTCGAAGGATTTGGGGATAATCTTCACGAGCTATCTCATCGTTGACAATGAAATACGTCTCACCTTTTGGACATTTTTCACCGTGGAATTCTGATCGAATTTCGGGGATCTGGGTTACAGTTAGAAGTATTAGGTCTTGTAATACGAAATGATGGATTTCTAATCATTCGAGAGTATTGAAAATTTCTTAGTTGTTTTTCCTTTTGGCGATGACTTAAAGGTTTCATAAAATTCATCGAGAAGATCTGTTATAGAAATTTTCTTGGAAAACGATTTTTTTCTGTTAAGTTCAGTTGTATGCTGGTAGTTGGATATAATACGTGAAAGTTGATCAAAGATCACAATGTAAGAGGGTTTTGTCGTCTTTGGTGCACTTTGTTTGCTTATCTCCTTTACATCTTGTTCGATTGTTGTTCGAGATTGCACGGAAGCTGGTCGAACGAAAAATCCGCATATTGGATCCTCGGATAAGCGGTGGCTTAACGTAATCGAATAAAAACACGCGGTATTGGAGTAATAACATGGAAGTTTATGCGGACCTTTCGTTCAGGGAGGGAGATAATCTTGGCGAATATTTCAGGATCGTTGTATTATTGTTTTCCATATTTTTTAATAATTACACTTATTTTCTTCGTCTTTTACCTTATCGATGTCGTGTCTTAGTATTACGTGTTTTAATTCAGTTATTCAGAGGACGATCTTTTATTTAGAAGTCTGATTAGAGCAACTTACAATTGAGTAGAAGTATTTCAATCTTTTATGCATATTGTCTGAAACCATGGAAACTTCGTGGAGATCTTCGAAATTTATCATTCTTTTCTTCGTTACAAATTCAGGAAACAACCCTAAGAACAGTCAACACTTCATCTCTCCCCACACAATTCCACTCAAATTTCCCACAGACCTTCCAAAGATCCCCAAAATTCAAGGTCCCACCCCCTTCTCCATCACAGCTTCACAAAATAATCCTAAAATCACCCACCACTCCATCTCTCCCCACACAATTCCACTCAAATTTCCCACAGACCTTCCAAAGATCCCCAAAATTCAAGGTCCCACCCCCTTCTCCATCACAGCTTCACAAAACAACCAGAAAATACCCACCACTTCATCTCTCCCCACATAATTCCACTCAAATTTCCCACAGACCTTCCAAAAATCCCCAAAATTCAAGTTCCAACCCCCTCCTTCATCGCAATTTCACAAAATAATCCTAAAATCACCCAACACTCCATCTCTCCCCACACAATTCCACTCAAATTTCCCACAGACCTTCCAAAGATCCCCAAAATTCAAGTTCCCACCCCCTCCTTCATCGCAAATTCACAAAATAATCCTAAAATCACCCAACACTCCATCTCTCCCCACACAATTCCACTCAAATTTCCCACAGACCTTTCAAAAATCTCCAAAATTCATGTTCCCATCACCTTCTCCATCACAGCTTCACAAAACAACCCAGAAACACCCACCACTCCATCTCTCCCCACACAATTCCACTCAAATTTCCCAAAATTGAAGTCCTCATCCCCTCCTTCATCGCGACTTCACGAAACAACCCAAAACCACCCAACCACAACTCGATCACTTCTCCCTCCCTCCCACAGTCCATCGTAGGATCCCGAAGATTTCCCATTCACAAAACACCCACCGCTAAAACTCCCTCGAAAACTCCTCCAACACGTGCAACACACATTCCACCCCTCACTCTTATGATCGGCAACCCCCTTATACTATACTCTCGAGATAAGAAGAAACTACTTCATTCGGTCTTGCCGCTTCTGGCGGCACGCTAGTAGCCAGCTAGGTGTCAGGCCGACACAGAGGGGTTTGGGGTGTGTGCGTGGGTGGAGGCGTACAGTGACGCCGGGTGACGGTTTCGAGTGGCGG